TGTGCAACAATCATCACGTCTGCCCCGAGCTCACGACCCCGGGGTGAACAATTCAACATGAGGGGCACCACAACCTCTCCCGATTCCACACCAGCCCTTATCGCAGTGTCCTCTCAAAGCGTGGTCACGGTACCGAGCACTCACAGTTTCATAGAGCGAAGAAGCAGCAAGCTCCAAACTTGGCGTACGGGCGACGACGGGGTACAACGCGCGCATTTGAGCAACAGACGCAGTACAACAACCTAATATCAGCACATACCGATGCAAGGAGTCAAGAAAGAGCAAGCTCCGAAATTGGCACACAGGCGACGACGGGGTAACGCCACGCGCAGTTGAGCAACAGACGCAGTACAGCTGTTGAGCTGGGAGCAGAAATCAGACTATGGGTGGTGTGCAATCTTTTGTCAGCACCACTATCAGACGAACGAGACCTGTGCAACGTTCATCACTTCTGTCCCGAGCTCACGACCACGAGGAGAACATTTCAAGATGAGGGGCACGACAACCTCACCCAATGGCACACTGGCCCTCGTCGCAGTGTACTCCCAAATTTTCCAAAGTACCGAACACATACAGCTGTAAGAAGTGCAGAAGCATCGAGCTTCAAAATTGGCGCACCGAGAACATACAGCTGTCAGGAGTGAGGCCAGAACAAGATCCGAAACTGAAGTACGAGCGACGACAGGGTACGACGCGCAAATGTGAGCAACGGACGCAGTACAGCTGTTGAGCTGGGGACAGAGACCAGACTATGGATGGTGTGTAGTCTTGTGTCAGCACCACCATCCGACGAACGAGACCCCTGCCAATCGTCACGCCTGCCCCGAGCTCGCGACCCCGAGGAGAAGAGTGCCGCACGAGGGGCACGGCGACCTCGCCCAGTGGCACCCGGGCCCCCGTCGCAGTGCCGCAGCATGCCTCCCCGACGCCTCCACGGCACACGGCACCCACGGCGGCAAGAGGCGGAAGGAGGGCAAGCTCCCACGGCGGCGCACGGGCGACGACCCAGGGGCCCCGCCGCGGACCCAGGGCCGGCCGCGCAGCGGCCGGCCGAGGCCCGGGTCCGCAGGGGGGAGGGAGAGAGGCGCCGGGCACCCGCGCGGCTCTCGAGCTCGGGTCGGCCAGAGAGAGAGCTGGCGAGGCGAAAGGGGGGGTAGGAGGGGAGGAGGAGGAGGAGGAGGAGGAGGAGGAGGAGGAGGAGGAGGAGGAGGAGGAGGAGGGGGAGGAGGGAGGGGAGGAGGAAGGAGGGAGAAGGGAGAATGGAGGAGGAGGAGGAGAGGAGGGAGGGGGGAGGAGCAGAAGGAGAGGATCGGCCGGGCGAAAGGGGGGTAGTAAAGGGGGGGGGTGAGAATCAGCTCACGTAGCTGATTTGCCCGGCGCCTCCCGGCACCAGAGGCTTCCATGTGTCGAGGCATGGGCCAGGCGGCGGGGCCGAAACCAGCTGCATGCAGCAAGTTTCGTACCCCCCCCTTTCCCTATCCCCCCCTTTCGTTCGGCCCGAGAGAACTGGCGAGGCCAAGGGAACCCACGTGCGCACGATTGCTCCTCCAACGTCAGGTCGGGCCCCGATGTTCGAGGAAAAACTGGAAATACTCAAAAAAGATACTCCCGAATGGTCCAAATAGTCCAAGAAAAAATCGTCCCCTGACGATGGACTACTTTGGAATATGGGGACACGCCCGACTTAACTCGAACGCCGCAGAGGGCAGGCAGCCGCGGGTCGAGCAGTGGCAGGTCGAGCCTACGTCGAAATGAGGCTCACTCTGTGTGAGATCGTGCGCCAGCCCAGCCCGGGCACGAAGCACGGGTACGGAAGGATTCCGGATTTTGAGGGTGCAACAGTTACGTTGTGTTAAAGTCCCAGGAATGGTGCTCTGGCACGGTTCAGGATCATCAAGACGCAACAATCAGGTTGAGCCGTGGCATTGAAATCCCGAGAACAATGTTTTGGAATGCTTCAGGATCTTCAAACGGTTGTCTTCCAACGAGGCAGTTCCCTCAATGGAAATGAACCGTTGTGGGGGCCTATGAAGAGGGAGCTTGGAGGGAGGGTTAATTCCAACATCGTTGATGATTTTTGATTTTACACTGGTCCTCCTCCTCCTCCTCCTCGTTCTCCTCCTCCTCCTCCTCCTCCTCCTCCTCCTCCTCCTCCTCCTCCTCCTCCTCCTCCTCCTCCTCCCCCATTCCTTCGCCTTATAGATAACTCCTCCCTGTCGCACATCGAGGCCAGTTTTTAGGGCGGGCCAGGAGTTTCGCCTTCGCCTGAGACTTCATCACCAGTTATGACTCCGAAGCTTCAGAGGTGACAACAGTTTCACAGATGGAGGGCGGGTGGCTTTCAAACTGTGGCTCTCGCCTTAGCGCCGCGCACATTCGCTTTGTTTCACGGATCGAAGGCGGGTCGTTTTCAAAATGTGGCTCTCGCCTTAGCCCTTAGCGCCGCGCACATTCGTCTTAAAAAACTTGCAAGAGTGATGCAAATAGAGGGCGGGTGGTT